CAGCCCCTCCTGGTGTGGGGCTGACCTCTCTTCAGAACAAGGGGACGCTTTCTCCTTCATATGAAGGTGTTTCCTACTTGCCAAGCCAGAGACCCGTGATGATACCTCTTCCTATGTCATGCAAGATATTGTAGTAGTTTGAGGACACTGATGTTCCCAACCCTTTGTCCCTTCCTGTAGCCAAGGCCTTTCTCCAAAGCTGTGCTCTACCCTCCTCCTCTTAGCAGAGTATTCTGTTCCGCTCATTGTCTCTGGGCTCAACCATGTGTACTGCTTTAGCCCACGCACATTATCATATGTGATAAAAACAGAGGCTGGGGCTTCCCTGGTGGTGCAGTGGTTGAGGGTCTGTCTGCCGATGGAGGGGACACGGGTTCGTGACCCGGTCCGGGAAGATCCCACATGCCACAGAGTGGCTGGGCCCGTGAGCCATGGCCGCTGAGCCTGCGCGTCCGGAGCCTGTGCTCCGCAACGGGACAGACCACAACAGTGAGAGGCCCGCGTACCGCAAAAAAAAAAAAACCAGAGGCTGGAAAAAGCGCTTGCAACATTTCCACTTGCTCTTTTGTTCCTCTGCCTTCACCATGAGGACACACCCAGGCTAGCCCACTGAAGGATGAGGCACAGGGAACAGAAGAGCCAAGTTACCCCTGTCGTTCCAGCCCGGCAAACAGATATCGATGGCAACCCTCAGAAATGGAGAGAGCCCAGCCAAGATCATCAGAGCTGCCAAGCAACCTGCAGCTGGTTACAGACGCAGGAGGGAGTCCAGCTAGGACCCGAAAAGTTGCCCAGCTGACGCACAGACGCACTTACTGTTTCAAGCCACTGAACGTTGGGCTAGTTTGTTACATAGCATTATTACGACAATAGTTCACTATTGTGAACATATGGGCTAGCAGAGATGAGCCTTGCCCCACTTTGATTTTATTGATGTTTGCAAATTCAAAGGAGGGTGTATCCAAGTAGAACCCTCTACAGAAGCATCAGGCCGGAGAGCCACATTTCCTACCCCAATGACGTAGCGAATGACCCCCTTTCTATCCGCTTCAGGGATGACATCCTTGTAGTCCAAAGGATCGCCAAACTTTTCTCCATCTGTGATGACAACCAGCATCTTAAGGGCATTCTCCCGGGCTCCGTTTCTGCTGTGAAACAGTTCTCTTCTGTCCAGGGTAGAGGAGGGAAAAGTCAAATTCGAGCCGACAGAGATACGCTTGATGCTAGGGAAGGAACGTCAGCAGTGACAGATGCAACTGGGCTCTGTCTAGGAGGCACTTGGGTTCTCCTGGGACAAGCACTGAGATGTAGCTGCCCCAATATCTGGAAGGGCAGCAGGAGAACAGGAAAGAGTGGAGGGAAAGGAAGCCTTCATTGCCGTTATATACTTTGGCATAGATCGATTTTTTTTTTAACTGAGTATTATTCCTTCTAAATTAAAAAGAAATTAATAAGCTTAATTGTGCCTTCATCAAACCTCTCCTGATGTGAGGCAATGGTTCTCCAGCATATCATCCTGCACTTTTGTCCCAATCCCCAGCCTTGACTCTACACAGACACACACACACACAGAGATCAGAGTGAACTTTCTAAAACAAGATATGGGTACGTGTCCCCACTGCTAAAACCTTCAATGGATCCACTGGCTTTTCAGTTGCCTTGATGATCTGGCCTCAACTGATCCTTCTAGCCTCTCTCTAGCCTTCCCTTCCCTCCCCGCCCCCTTAATCCCACCTTTACTCACGACTTGTATGTCATGACCATACCGGGCACAGTCCCTCCTCCACACGTTTACTCACCCCTCCACCGGAAATACCCTCTACCCCAGCCCTGTCTGAACAACTCCCCTCTTCCTGCAAAGCTCAACGAAAAATAAAACCTCCTCCTTCTATCCTAAGCAAAGAGGGAAGAGCTTACACAACTTTGCGGATCGCTGTGGCCGTGTGTGTCCTCCCCAACAGCTGTGTTATTGGCCTCACCAGCGATTCCGGGGAAGGGTTTCTCTTGAAATCGTTGAAGGTGAAATGAGTCTGAAATTCTTCAGAGTACTGCATCAAAGAGAACTGGGAACGGGCACCTGGTATTACACTGGAGAAGGTGTCCCTCCTCCCCCTTAACCATCTCAGCAAGCTCTCCATAAATCTTGAAACACTCTAGTCTCCAAATTCCTCCCAATTCTGCCCTGCCCCCAGTCCTTCCGCCTCACCAGGACAGAGATCGGCCATCAGCTCCCACTTCCCAGCACTAGAACTCAGCCAGAGATGACATGTGGGTTTCATGTCCCACGCCAACCCCTATCAATTAGTCTGCCTGCTTTACAGGGGGCTGGAGGAAAGCTGAGGCCACATCCAGACAGAGCAAGGAAGCAAATCATGAAAGAAAACAATGATCAACTGGCAAGTTGGCAACATCTCTAATAGAAGCAGGACAGGAACGTGGCAGCCTGGTTGCCACGTATTTTCCAGCCTTATGCAAGCTGTTCCCTAACCTACCCACTGACCCTTACCAAGGTTTTGGACTTTTGGAATTGACTCATCACAGTTGAGACAAAGTTCTTCATCCGCTGAAAGTCTGTCGGGTTGATGCTACCAGAGCCATCAATCAAAAAAGCAATGTCACTCTCTTTCTGAGGGCACCCTGGGGAAAAAGGAAAAGGAATTGATTACAAGAGACTCAGCATTCATTTTCTGCATGTCAGCACTCTGCTGACATGAGAATGAAAGGTAAACAAGATGCAACCCATGTGCCTAGCTAAATAAAAACATGGGACAGAGTGGTATGGAAAAATATGGTTCATTCTGCTCAAGGCAGTCAGGGAAAGCAGTGCTATCACAGCTACCTCATGAAGAATAAGAAATAATTTGCCAAAAATACACAGGGAGAAATAAGTTACAGGGGAAAAAAGGAATAGCGCATATAAACGTATGCTGGATGTCCTCCCTCCAGCCCCCCATTCTGCCCCAGCCCCAAATCCACTTTCTACCATTCCCCACTTTGCCCGGAGCTCAGCCCACATGGGACATGTCAACAGGGCTCTTTCAACCTCTGGCTTGTTTGCCCAATTAGGAGCCTCAACAGGAGACTGGAGGGAGGGAAGAGGGTGAGAGCAGAGTATTTCCCTCAGCTCCCTTCCTGCAAGCCTGCTTTGGGCCAACTGTGTCCCTCAACAGATCAGTGCTCCTCTCAAGGAGGCCCACTCCCCATGACTCCCTGTCCTTCCAGATTCTGGGGACTTCTGCCTCTCTTTGTCCCATCAGCCTAGGGTAGCAACAGCTCCACTGTTGTTCACCCTGGGTTCCTGGACCATCCCTTGTAGCTTCTTTAGACCCTGCCACACCTTTATAATTAGTCCCTTTCTAAATATAGTTGACCCTTGAGCAACGCAAGGATGAGGGGCCCCCACCCTCCATGCAGTTAAAAATGCATGTATAACTTCACAGTCTGCCCTTCGTATCTGCAATTCCATATCCGCAATTCTGCATCTGCGGATTCAACCAAACTCAGATCCAGCAGTACTGTAGCATGAATTTAGTGGGAAAAAAAAATCCACATATAGGTGGACCCACGCAGTTTAAACTGGCCATTTTTCAAGGATCCAGTGTAGAAAAGGGTAGCACAAAGGATTTTTTTTTTTTTTCCTGTACGTGGGCCTCTCACTGTTGTGGCCTCTCCCGTTGCAGAGCACAGGCTCCAGACGCGCAGGCTCAGCGGCCATGGCTCACGAGCCCAGCCGCTCCGAGGCATGTGGGATCTTCCCGGACCGGGGCACGAACCCGCGTCCCCTGCATCGGCAGGCGGACTCTCAACCACTGCGCCACCAGGGAAGCCCAGCACAAAGGATTTTTTAGGAGGTAAAAGAATTCTTTCGTATCCTGTTCATGTTGCTGTTTACACAAATCTAAGCATGTCTTAAAATTAATTGAATTGTACACCACAAGGGGAAAAAAGGTCAATTTTACTGTATCATCAGTGAAAAAATAAGATAAAAGTATTGGCTTTTAAAAAAATAGACAAGCAGATTCTAACATTTATATAGAAAATAAACAGGGACGATAAGCCAGAAATTTTCTTGAAAATCTCAAAGGTACACTAAGTGAAAAGAATCAAGGTACAATCCAGTGTGTAGAGCACGCTACCTTTTGTGGCACAGGGTGAAGTATACAGACGCCTATGTCAGTAAATATTGATACGTGGAGTACCTCCAGAAGAAGCCATGAGACGCTGGTAACAGTAGCTGCCTCTCAGGAAGGAAAGAGGAGCTCCGAGACCCAAGAAGGAGAGGTTTTTATAGTGTAACCATTAGTGCCTTTTGAACTATGAACCGAGTGCATGTTTCATCTATTTTTAAGGAAATGAAAATGTTTTCAAAAAGAAGAGTCTGGAATGCTTAAGAGTGAGGACTGAAGAGAGAAACGTGGGGGTGGGAGCTGAAGCAACAGAATTGGATGCAGTCAGACACGAAGAGCACATGGGCAAGAACAGAAGCTGTAATCAGGTGGGCAGGGGAGGCAGAGGAAGACAGCTTGGAGCTGGAGCTTCGTAGGAGCCCTCAGTAGGGGCACAAGTAGGAGGAAGAGAAGAGAGGAGAGGAGAGATGTCTGAAGCCAAGGTGCTGGGGGAAGGAAGAGGTGATCTGCAGGTCACATTGGAAAAGTCAGAGAACATGAGGACAGAATAGAGATTTGGCCTTTAGAGGGTCACAGATGCCACTGGCAACAGCAAGGTCTATATCATGGGTGGGCAGGAGCCAGATGTCAAAGGGTGAAGGATCACAGCATGGGGGCAATGGAGACAAGGAGAGAGATCCCTTCCAAGAAGGTTGGTGATGAAGGGAAGGAGAGAGGGCAGAAGATGGAGAGGAGACCGGGGGAGGGAAGGTTATTTTCATTGCTATCAGTTTGAGTGGTTGATTCTTTTTAAGTTATGGGTAGCATGAGCAGGTTTACATTCAAAGGAGGGGTTGGGATTTAGGTTCCTGGAGAGAGCAAGTGATTAAAGATGTGAACCCCAGAGTTGGTGATGCGAGAGAGCCTCAAAAGCCCAGATGGAAAAATTACTCATGGAAAGGACAGGTCTTCCTCTAAAACCAGTGAGATGCTGCCAAGAGTGGTGCCATCGAGGAAATCTGGACAAGGAGAAGGAGGACGTGGAAGGAGTTTACACCTGGCAGCCTTGGTTTATTCTGTGAAGAAGGAGGGAAGGTTATTGGTTGAGAGTGAAGTTCAAAGGAGCTTGAGAAAAAAAAAAACTGTAAAAGGAAGACATATCTGCCCTTGGTTCCAGAACCAACTTGGAAACAAGCAAAAAGATGGCCAAGGAGTTGAAGAAATCGTTGTCAGAAATCAGCTGGATATGGGACTTCCCTGGTGGCGCAGTGGTTAAGAATCCTCCTGCCAATGCAGGGGACACGGGTTCAAGCCCTGGTCCAGGAAGATCCCACATGTCACAGAGCAACTAAGCTCATGTGCCACAACTACTGAGCCCGCGTACAACAACTACTGAAGCCCGTGCGCCCTGGAACCCACGTGCCACAGATACTGAGCCTGCGTGCTTCAGCAACCACAGCCCATGCTCCGCAACAAAAGAAGCCACGGCACTAAGAAGCCCGCGCACTGCAACGAAGAGTAGCCCCCACTCGCCGCAACTAGAGAAAGCCCACGTGCAGCAACGAAGACCCAACACAGCCACACAAAAAAAAGAAAAAAAGAAAGAAATCAGCTGGATAAAAACATTCATTCACTTACTCTCTTTCAATCAACAGATGCTTGGGGAACAAGGGTAAGGAGCCACCAAGATGGTCCCCAAGATTCTCACCTCCTGATAGAGTTAACACCCTTGCATAATCTCCTCATGTTGATTGTGAGCTGGAGTTTTTATTTATTTATTTTTACTGAAGTATAGTTGATTGACAATATTGTGTTAGTTTCAGGTGTACAGTAAAGTGATTCAAGTATATTTTTCAGATTTTTCCATTTAAGGTTATTACAAGATATTGAATGTTATCTGCTGTGTTATACAGTGAATCCTTTTTGCTTATCTATTTTATATGTAGTAGTGTGTATCTGTTAATCCCAGACTCCTAATTTATCCCTCCCACTTCCCTTTCCTCTTTGGTAACCATAAATTTGTTTTCTATGTCTGTGAGTCTGTTTTTGTTTTGCATGTAGGTTCATTTATATTATTTTTCAGATTCCACATAGAAGTGATACCATGTGATATTTGTCTTTCTCTGACTTACTTCACTTAGTGTGATATTCTCTAGGTCCGTCCAGGTTGCAGCAAATAACATTATTTCATTCTTTTCTGTGGTTGAGTAGTATTCTGTTGTTTCTGTTTATGTGTGTGTGTGTGTGTGTGTATATATATATATATATATATATATATATATATCACATCTTCTTTATCCATTCTTCTGTTGGTGGACACTTAGGTTCTTCCATGTCTTGGCTATTATAAATAGTGCTGCTATGAACACTGGGGTCCATGTGTCTTTTTGAATTAGGGTTTTTGTCTTTTCCAGATATATGCCCAGGAGTGGGATTGCTGAATCATATGGTAGCTATATTTTTAGTTTTTTAAGGAACCTCCGTACTGTTCTCCATAGTAGCTGTACCAATTTACATTCCCACCAACAGTGTAGGAGGGTTCCCTTTTCTCTACATCCTCCCTGTGAGCTGGACTTTTTGACTCACTCCCAAAGAATACAACATGGCAGAAGTCTTCTGAGATTAGATTATAAAAGACTGTGACGTCCATCTTGGGTTCTTACTCTCTCTTGCTCTCTCACTGCCTTGTTCACTCACCCTGAGGGCAGCCAGCTGCCACGTTGTGAGCTGTTCTGTGGGGAAGCCCATGGGACAAGCAAGTGAGGGAAGCAGGAGCCAGCAGCCAGTGTGGACTGAGGCCCTCAGTCCAACCATCTTATAAGTGAGCTTGGATGTGGATCTTCCCCAGTCAAGCCTTCAGATGAGATCACACCCCTGGTTTGACAACTTCAAGCTCTTGAGAAACCATGAGACAGAGAACCCCAACTAGTCTGTGTCCAGATTCCTGATTCACAGAAACTGTGAGATAATTAATGTTTCTTGTTTTTGGCTGCTAAGTTCAGGAGCAATTTGTCAAGCAGCAAGTGAACAAGCTCGACAAAATCTCTGGCTATCACAGAGCCTACATCCCAGAAGAAAGGACATCTAAGAAATAAGTAAAGGGCTTCCCTGGTGGTGCAGTGGTTGAGAGTCCACCTGCCGATGCAGGGGACACGGGTTCGTGCCCCGGTCCGGGAGGATCCCACGTGCCACGGAGCGGCTGGGCCCGTGAGCCATGGCCGCTGAGCCTGTGCGTCTGGAGCCTGTGCTCCGCAACGGGAGAGGCCACAAAAGTGAGAGGCCCGCGTACCGCAAAAAAAAAAAAAAAAGAAAGAAAGAAGTAAAATATGGATATATAGGTATGAAGAGGGCAAAGCAGGGCAATGTGGTAGGAAGTGATGGTGGAAATGATTAGAAGAGCCACTCAGGGAAGGTCTCTCTGAAGAGTTAACATTTGATTAACATTTGAGCTGAGATGACAGTAATAGGTTGTCAGCTGAGATCTGGGGAAAGAGCATGCCAGGCTGAAGGAATAGTAAGTGCAAAGCCCCTGAGGCAGGGACAGCTTGGTGTGGTTCTTGGAGAAGAAAGGCAGCTGGAGCACAGTGACTAAGGTAGAAGGGTTGGGAAAGAAGTTGGAGAGGTGGACGAGGGCCACACCAGCTAGAGCCTCAAAGGCTATGGTCAGGCACTGTGGCCAGGCTGAGTCCAGGCACTAACTCTAAGGACAATGGTTGAGACATTGTCTCACAAAGATGGGTGGCTATATCAGGACTTTCCTCAAAGTGCAAGATCCTAGAACCTCTCCAGAGCCCCTCTCTGCTTTGGAACCCAGTTCCCTCATGCTTCTGCACCAAGACTTTTAAATAAACCCCCAGACTATGAGCCCCTCAGCCCAGTACTGCCAACTCCCTCCAGTCTCATGCTACTTGTCTGTACCCACCTCTGAGGGCCTCTGGGAGCCTGCTGGGTTGCTGCAGTAGGCTGGATTGAAACAGGAAGCAGAAGCCGATCGCGTAGGTGTTGTCCTTGCAGATTCGGTGCCCAGTGGGGCCACAGGCCTAGGGCGCAGGGGACAGGTGGGAGGGGCTGTCCCTGCTTCCTGTCCTTTCACCCCAGCACCTCCACCCAGCAAGACCCCAGCCCCAAGAGTCTTAGGCCCCCAACTCCTTCCCTTGGGACACTCCCATGACCCAACGCAACTCACCAGCAGTTGGAAAGGTTTGGTGGCGAATGCCAGAGACAGGCCCAGGGACATGTTCACAGCCTCCGGGGGTACTGAGGGGACAGATATATATATGGTCACCCTGGGGGATGGACGGGACTGTGTAAGAACTGGACAGGGGATGGACAGGAACCTCAACCAGGGAGACATGGAGGTGTGAGGGGTTCAAAGAGGCACGTAGGTCATGGAAAGGGACACAGAGGGGTGTCCAAGGGTGCCTGCATACAGCTCAGAGGTCAGGGAGCTGGCTCCCTGGGCCCCCATCACAGATCCCAAGACAAAGGCAACGTCTGGCAAGTCCAGGTGTGTACAGAGGTGGAACCCTAGCCCTGGGTCCCAGCGAGGGGCAGTGACTCACCCTGCAGGGGGATGGGTTCACACTTGCCCATACTGCAGTCGCACTGGTAGAGGCCGCCCGTTTGATTGGAAGCCTTTATCTCCTGGGGGGCTCCAACCACCAGCCTGGGGGGAGAGGTGGGAAAAGCTCACCACAGGGACAAGAGAGCGCTATGATAACTGGGGAGAGAAGGAGACCATGGAAGTTCCGCCACCCAAAATAAAAGCGGGGGAGTCAACCTCACAGGGATTCCCCAACTCCCAGAAATAGGAGGAAGATTCAGCAAAGAAAAACATGGGAATTTTTTTTAACCGCTGATTGTTTATTGTGAATATTCTCATAATCCAGTCATTTGAATTCCCAGAGGTCACTTCAGTAAATTCAAGAATTTCTAAATCCTGAAGGCCAAACAATGAAGGTAGACAGTCTACCTTCCCAACTTGGAATCACTTCCCCATTCAGGCAGGGATGCAATAGTGCATAGAGGACAGGAATAGAGGCCTTGGAGTTTTACTGCCCAAAATTAAAATTTAGTCCCACCCTTACTTCCTGTGTGACCTTGGGCAAGTCAACTAATGACCTTATTGTGCTTCAATTTTCTCATCTCTAAAATATGGATAATAGCAGCACCTACCTCAAGGTTATTATCAGGATTAAATGAGTTAATCCATGTACAATCCAAAAATGGGAAAATGTTTAATCTTGGAGTGAGAAGGAACTCTCTGAGAATGACATAATACCCAGAGGTCATTTTAAAGTGAATACATTCAACTCCACAGTCATTTTAAATAAATTTCTGTATCTGATCAAGTACCAAAAGCGAAGTCAGAAAACAAACGATAAACCGGGGGAGGGAGATGAGCAACTCATACCCCAGACTACTTTCCTCAGTATAGTCAGAGCTCCCACAAACCAGTAAGGGAAAAAAAACAAACCAAGAGAAAAATGGGCAACAGATAAGAAAAAAAATGTTCACAGAAAAGGAAATAAATCTCTCCTTAAAAAAGAAATGCAGGGCTTCCCTGGTGGCGCAGTGGTTAAGAATCCGCCTGCCAATGCAGAAGACGTGGGTTCGAGCCCTGGTCTGGGAAGATCCCACATGCCGTGGAGCAACTAAGCCCGTGCGCCAAAACTACTGAGCCTACGCTCTAGAGGCTTCGAGCCACAGCTACGGAAGCCCACGTGCCTAGAGCCCGTGCTCCACAGCAAGAGAGGCCACCACAATGAGAAGACCCCATACGGTCATAAATTAATTAATTTTTTTAAAAAAAGAAATGCAGTTTAAAAGTAAATTGATATACCGTTTCTCACCTGTTCAATTTACAAAGATCATAAGTTTGCTTACACTTTGGGTTGGCAAGTGGGTGGGGAAGTAGGTGTTTGCATAAACTTCTGGTGTGAGTGCAAATTGTTGCCACCCTCATAGAGGGTAATTTGGAAAAATCTATTAAAATTACATATGCACATGTACCCTTGGATCCAGCAACCCTAGTCCTAGGAATTTACTTCCAAAATATACTTGCACATGTACAAAATGCCAACATTGTTCATATAGCAAAAGTTTGGAAACAATCTAATGTCCATTAAGAAGAGATTTGGGGACTTCCCTGGTGGTCCAGTGGGTAAGACTCTGTGCTCCCAATTCAGGGGGCCCGGCTTCAATCCCTGGTAGGGGAACTAGATCCCACATGCTGCAACTAAGAGCCCACATGTTGCAATTAAAGATCCTGCATGCCGCAACTAAACATGCTGCAACAAAAATGCCGTGTGCCGCAACTAAGACCCAGGCAGCCTAAATAAATAAATAAATTTTAAAAAGAGATTTAAATGTAATATAAATGTAAATTACAATACTTCCAAATAATGGAATGTGATGTAAGCATTAAAAAGAACAAGTAAGCTCTTTTTTCATTTGTTTGGTAAAATCAGCAAGCTCTATTAATTTAAAAAAAATGCAAAGGACAGTATGGAGCAGAGGCCAGCAAACTTTCTTCTAGAAAAGTAACATTATTTCCATAAATATTATTTCTGTAAAGGTAAATATTTTAGGCTTTGCAGGCCATAGAGTCTCTGTCCCAGACTCTCTGTTCTGCTACTATAGCTCCAAAACTGCCCTAAAAAATAAATGACTAGAGATTATCATACTAAGTGAAGTAAGTCACACAGAGAAAAATGATGTAAATGAACTTATTTACAAAACAGAAACAGACTCACAGATTTCAAAAACAAACTTATGGTTACCAAAGGGGAAACGTGAGGGGGAGAGATAAATTAGGAGCTTGGGATTAACACACACACACTGCTATATATAAAACAGATAACCAACAAGGACCTACTGTATAACACAGGGAACTCTACTCGATTTTCTGTAATAACCTATATGGGAAAAGAATCTGAAAAAGAATGAATATATGTATATGTACAACTGAATCACTTTGCTGTACATCTGAAACTAATGCAATATTGTGAATCAACTATACTCCAGTAAAATTTTTATAAGTATTGGAAAATAATAAAAAATAATAATAATAAATGACAAGTGGGGAGTAGGGGTAGCCAAGTGTCAATAAAATGTATTTACAAAAATAGGCAGGAGGTTGTAGTTTGAGTATAATGTGTGCAATAAATTGTGTGTAGGATGATGTGGAGGTCTATGCACTGTAGAATCTCTCTGAAAGGACACACGAGAAACCATTCAACAGGGACCCTGCTAGGGAGGGAATTGGGGGAAGGGAGTGAGGAAGAGACTTTCTTACTATCACACTCTTTTGTATCTTTTGAATTTAGAGCTCTGATAAATTAAGGAAAAAACAAATCAAGGAAATTGTGATTTTTTTTTAGGTATGTTAAGCCTTGGAGGGAAAGTGCGTGAGCAGGGAGTCCCCCTGTGGCCCTTACCGGGATCCCTCAAGCTGGACCACGCTCTGCCCGAAGCCCCTTGCATTGTTTTGGAAGATGACTGCTTTTTCCGTGTCCAGGTTGAACCCGTGACATAAGGCCAAGGCTGGAGGGAGAACAAGGGGGGCGGGAGTCAGGAGGACAGAAGGAGACAGTTAAGAAAGCAGCCTGGGAACTTCCCTGGTGGCGCAGTGATTAAGAATCCAGGGGACACGGGTTTGAGCCCTGGTCCAGGAAGATCCCACATGCCGCAGAGCAGCTAAGCCCGTGCGCCACAACTACGATCTGTTGTTTGTTTTGTTTTGTTTTTAACCTTGAAGGAACATATCCCTGACTTGTTTGATGTTCTTTGTTCTGACAAGATATAGAACTGTGCTGAAAACCATGCTTCTCCGGAGCAGTTCCTCAGAGTTCTCTGAGAGGCTGTCTCCTGGGCTATAGTCCTCAGTTTGCTCAAAGAAAACTCTTTTCTTGTTTATTGATTATTTCCATCAACAGGTGCATTCAGCCCCTCTCTGAGCCCCACCCTGGGTTCCCACCCCACTGATTTGCCCAACAATCAAGTTCCTAAAGACTCAGGTAATTTCCTTCCTATGCAACTTTCAAGCATTTCTTTCCCTTCTCTGGCTCTTAGTCCACAAAACACAGATACAAAGGGAAAAAACTTGAATCATTTTGATCAGTCAGTCATTCAACAAACATTTACACCTGAGTCCTTGGAAAAGAGGAGACAAATAGGAGGAGGTGAGGTGGAATCCAAGAAGAAACACTCCAAGAAGAGAAGCCAAGACCTGCTGTGCACACTTAGACGTGTCATTTCACCTCTCGGGGCCTCAGTTTCCTCCTCTGTGAAGAAGGGACCAGCCAAACCCCCTTGCATAGTCCGTGAATTGAGTCATTTATCCAAAGCTTCTCTGCTCATCGCATCTCGGTCTAGTTCTACTCTGCTGCTTGAATCCCTTAACCTTCCCCCAATCCCCTTTGTCTCTCCCAGCCTAACTCCTAAGTATTCTGTACCCTTTATCTCCACAAACTCACAAACCCAAAAACTGCCCCCCCTCCTCACTCTGAGGGCCCCCCAACTCCTGGCGCACCTGTTAGTAGAAGGACTCTGTGAGTCATCTCTGGAGACAGCAGGAGCCGTGAGGCTGCAGGCACCACTGAGCCACTTCAAGGAGGCCACCAAAGCCAGGAAGGACCGAAAAAGGGAAGTAAGAGGCAGAAGTCTGTCAGAGACTCAAAGGAAGAGGACGGAGGCTCAGTGAGCACACAGACCTGCCAGACCTACCCCCTCTACCCAGCCTCCCGGCCCAAACCATCAGGGTCGCCAACCCATAGGTGGCTTTGTTTGCCCACCTGCTTCTAGAAACATTATGAACAGCAAAGCACAGTCTTATGACCTGCCCCCCAGAACATGTCTCCCTGAAAGCACGCTTTGCAAAATGTCCCTCCCTCCTGCCCAGGGAAGCGGGAATACCTGTCAGCCAGAGCTATCCTCCTGTGTGGCCATCAGTAAGGTCAACTCGGGTACAGAGAAACCTGGTGCTTTTTTTTTAATATAAATTTAGTTATTTATGTATTTATTTTTGGCTGCGTTGGGTCTTCGTTGCGGCACAAAGACTTCTCAGTGAGGTGGTTTCTCTTGTTGCGGAGCACAGGCTCTAGGCGCCCAGACTTCAGTAGTTGTGGCGCCGGGCTTAGTGGCTCCGCAGTATGTGTAATCTTCCTGGGCCAGGACTCAAACCCGTGTCACCTGCATTGTCAGGAGGATTCTTAACCACTGCACCACAAGCAAAGTCCTCAACGCGGTGCTTTTTTAATATTATTTTGCTTTAAAAACAAATAAAAAACGGCCTCAGGACTTCCCTGCTGGCGTAGTGGTTAAGAAGCCACCTGACAATGCAGGCAACACGGCTTCGAGCCCTGGTCCAGGAAGATCCCTCATGCCGCGGAGCAACTAAGCCCGGCGCCACAACTACTGAGCCTGCGCTCTAGAGCCCGTGAGCCACAACTACTGAAGCCCATGGCCTAGAGCCCGTGCTCCGCAGCAAAAGAAGCCACCGCAATGAGAAGCCCACACACCGCAACAAAGAGTAGCCCCCACTTGCTGCAACCAGAGAAAGCCCGCACACAACAACAAAGACCCAACGCAGCCAAAAAAAAAAAAGCCTCAAACTCTTTTGCCCTGGAATTTTCACTTCCAAGAATTTATCCTAAGAAATATCTGAGAAGTACAGTCAAAGATGTCTGCGCAAGCTGTTTTCAAAGACACAGGAGCATATCTTCATGAAATTACATAGAACACCAAACCATACTTGTGTGTGTCTGCTAATGTGATTCCACAAGCCAATCATTTTTCATTCTCTCTCCATCATATTTTCTCTTGCCCTTAGTTCGGCTTTCTTAATAACCAGAGCAAAGAAATGTGTGCGCTCTGAAAAAAATTCCATTAAAATTCTGAACATTTTGTTTTAAAATTACCTGTTTAAAAATACGTATGTGTTGGGCTTCCCTGATGGCGCAGTGGTAGAGGGTCCCCCTGCCGGTGCGGGGGACGCGGGTTCGTGCCCCAGTCCGGGAGGATCCCGCGTGCCGCGGAGCGGCTGGGCCCGTGAGCCATGGCCGCTGAGCCTGCGCGTCCGGAGCCTGTGCTCTGTGGCGGGAGAGGCCACGGCAGTGGGAGGCGCGCGTACTGCAAAAAAAAAAAAAAAAAAAAAACGTATGTGTAGGAAAACCAAAATGTTAATAGTGGTTGTCACTGGATCATAGGACAATGGGTCTGTTCTACTCTATTGCTGCAGAGCAAACTACTCCAAATAAAACGGCAACTTCTTTTTTTAAAATTTATTTTACTGAAGTGTAGTTGATTTACAATGTTGTGTTAGTTTCTGGTGTACAACAAAGTAATTCAGTTATACATATACAGAATAGTTTGCATCTGCTAATCTCAAGTTCCCAGTTCATCCCTGCCCCATATCCCCTCTCCCTTGGCAACCACAAGTCTAAAACAGCAACTTCTCATTGTGTCATGGTGCTGTGGATTGTCTAGCCTCAGCAGTTCTCACTAGGGAATCTCGATGGCTGCAGTCAGATGGTGACTGGGGCTGGAGTCCTTGAAGGCTCAGCTCGGCTGGACTTTCAAAACAGATCACTCCCATGGCTGGAAGTTGGTGCCATCAGCAGGCCAGGAGCTCGGTTGGAGCTATCAGCTGGAGGACCTCCATGTGTCCTCTCTATGTGGCTTAGGCTGCTCACAGCATAGTGGTTAGACTTTAAGAGCAAGTATTCCAAGAGATAAGAATTGAAAGTTCCCAGTCTCTTAAGGTGTTGATCTGGAAACTGTCACAGAGTCACTTCCACTATATTCTAGTGGTCAAGCAGTCACAGAGCTCGACCACGTTCTAAGAGAGGGGAACAAAGATGTCACGTCTCAGTGGGAGGTGTGTCAAAGAATTTGTGATCAGCTTCAATCTGCCACAGGGTGATTTTAATTTTCTTCTATATATATTTGTGTACTTAAAACTTTTATACAAAAAAAAGTGACGCTTATAATCAGAAAAAAAAGAAAAACACCAATAAGTAATTTAAACAACAAAGGGCCCATTCTTGTTAGCAGGAAAGGAGGCTGAGGAAAAAGAAATAAGACCATTGGATCAGGATGAGAAGCTACCAACAAGGGTGTGGGGACATATTTTAATAAATAAGCTGGTGGGACTTCCCTGGTGGCACAGTGCTTAAGACTCCGCACTCCCAATGGAGGGGGCCTGGGTTCGATCCCTGGTTAGGGAACTAGATCCCACATGCATGCTGCAACTAAGAGTTTGCATGCCACAACTAAGGAACCCATGTGCTGCAACTAAGACCCGGCCCAACCAAATAAATAAATAAATAATTTTTTTAAAAAAAGAATGAATGCAAAAATAAATAAATAAGCTGGGTTTATTTTTGATAAAAAAACTTTCACACTCTGATCACCACAGGAAGTTGCTCGGATATCACGGCCCCTCTGTGCCCTTAGCAGTGGCCAAGGGCCCACTTTAAAGGCATAGGCAATATCTCAGAAAGATTGTCCAATCCCCAGAGCCTTTCTTAATGACCCACCCTATGGTGTGCACCTGACCAGGTAACCACAAGGTGGGCACCTAGCTATAAGCTCCCATCCATCCCCTACCCCTACTCTTGACAAAAGCTTCGCTTGGGTTCCCCTGTACATGAACACTGAGACAAGGGGAAGTAATTTATTTGAGAGGTAATCCAGGAAACACTGGTGAGGAAGTGAGCCCATAAAAGCTGTGAGATGGAACAAGTTACTGCTGTGGATGATTGGAGCTCAATACACTGAGGAACTCTGAAATCCAGGGTAGAACATGCCTCAGAGTTATCCACCTGAGAGGAGAGGGGGCTAGATTTTTATCCACAACTCACATCAGCTATCAGTGGAGGGCTGCTCTCCGGGAAAGCCTTACTTCTCTGGTGCATCCAATTTGCCCTGCACCCAGGCAGAGAAGGCTCCAGGAGCCAGAGAGAGCCCTCAGGCAGGCAGGTACTGGCAGCTGGAAACCTGGCCAGCTTGCATGAGAATGATAAACACTGATGGGACGTGAATGGAGCAATTGCAGTGTCTGCTACAGATACTCAGATATTTTTTCATAGCACTCATTATTACATGAAACTATATTGCATATTTATTTAGTTTATCTATTGTCTGACTCCCCAGCTAGAGTCTATAAGCTCCAGAGAGCAGAGATTCTTGTCTGTCTTGCTCATCACTCTATTTCCAGTGCACAGAAGAGTGCCTGGTTCATAAGAGAGATCCCCCCCGCCCCTCCCTCAGAGAGAGAATTCTGGAAAGAGGGCAGGGTAGCAAGCACCAAGAATCCTTCCTCCCCAGCTAGATAGCGATTGTACCAGAAGAATCTCTCTGATGTAACTATTTAGGAGCTCTGAGTCTATAATGCACCAAAAAAAAAAAGACCTGTGGTTAATTTCAGTGTATTTCCGCTCTTAGCACCGTAGCAGCTACCAACCCCTCACTAACTGCAATCCCATGGCAACCTTTGCAGGAGCAGGTTGCATGAAGCTTGTAGGAACCAAGGTGTCAAGAACCCATCCTTTTATGATGCCTATCATGGAATCTTAAATACAAAATCTTCAAAACTTGAAATAATTTGAGTGAACCAGTGTTCCTAACATCAAATCAATCTAAATAGAGCATAAGGCGTTTTGCTGGGTCAGGTTGAAAACAACCACCATGCTCTCTCGCCTCCTCGCTTCCAAGACGACCAGGAAAAGAAGGAATAATGGTCGTGCCAAAAAGGGGCGCGGCCACGTGCAGCCTATTCGCTGCACCAGCTGTGCCCGATGCGTGCCCGAGGATAAGGCCATTAAGAAGTTCGTCATTTGGAACACCGTAGAGGCCGCAGCCGTCAGGGACATTTCCGAAGCGAGTGTTTTCGACGGTGAGTGAGCTCCTGGCGCGAACTGTCCTATGTGCTTCCCAAGCTGTATGTGAAACTACATTACTGCGTGAGTTGTGCCGTTCACAGCAAGGTAGTCAGGAGTCGTTCTCCGGAAGCCCGGAAGGACCGAACACCTCCACCCCGATTTAGGCCTGCGGGTGCTGCGCCACGACCTCCGCCAAAGCCTACGGAAGGAGCTAAGTCCTTAAAGGCTAAAGAAATACGGTCCCCTGGAAAGACAATAAAACGGAAATTATACTTTTAAAAAAACCCACCATTTGCTTAGTGATTTACGGGTCCCTTTCACAGGCATAATCTCTTCTGATATTCATGCTCAAGCTATGAGTTAGATGCTATTATTAATTCTAATTATCATCTTTCTTGTGCAGAAGTTCTTTTGTTTCATGTGGCCAAATTTATTATAAGGCTTTTCTGTAACTTGTTTAATAAATCTCCAGAGTTAGAAAATATTTTTCATCTATATATTCTTCTCAAATACTTCTTTTCCTTCCATTATTTAACTTCTTACTTTGTGTACTGTTGAATTTTGGGTGTGCAGTGTGAAACAGGGAATCCAGTTTCATTTTTGTCCATATGAACAAATAATTTTCCAGTTCCATTTACTGAAAAGAGTTTAAAATAAGCTTTTAGAAGGAAATTTTACTTTCCTATGTTTGTCAAATTTTTTTTTACTACCCATCTGTTTTCTACCCAAGTCAGTGTA